AATATAAATATTTACAATAATAATGCATAATAATGTATGTATGTGATTGATTTTCAAATGAAAATGACAGAATTTACCGTCATCTGTACTCCTATACTATAAACCGATAAAAACCGGTTATCGATTATAAATATAATCGGTTATCGATTTTACAAAATTCTGAACCGGTTTTAATCCGATACGATAAAAACTGGTTATAAATCCGATATCGATAACCGGTTCTGACCTCTAATGTACATGATCGAGATTAGTGAAGTGGTCTAATAATATAAATTTTGACCAAAATTTGAATTTCCTCCTTTTCTATTGACTATCTCCTATATTATCCCTTAAATTATAAAACAGATAAATTTATCTATAAAGTTAAAAAAATATATATTAATTTCTTTATAAAATATTAAATATTAATTTTAGTAATAAATATTATTATTATATAAAAAATATAGTTTAATATATTTTTTATCAATTTTATTAACAAAGATTTTAAGTTTTTTAAAAGATTTTTAAAAAATCTAATTTTAATTTTTTAAAAATTCTTTAAAAATTTATATGTTTGTATACTAATTGAATTATTTTATTTTTAATTAAATCATAAAATTTTTTAATAAATTATAAAAATTATAATAATAAAAGTTTACTTTATAAGTAATTTTATAATATTTTATTATAATTAATATAGTTAAAAATAAATTCTTAAAATTTATCATAAATTAATTATGAAATTTTTAATATAAATTTTTTTTAAAAATTACAAATTTTAGCTTTTAAGTAACCTTAAATTTTTTAATATATAATTAAAAGATAAATCTTGTTATAATTTATTATATATTTATAAAATTTAAAAAAAAATTTTTAATAATATTAATTATTTTTAAAAGTAAATCAAAAAAAAAATTTATAATAAATAAGCAAACAACTTTGCATATAAAACCCTATATTTAAGAGATAATAATATATTATATAAAAATAATTAAAAAGTTTAAAATAAATGATTAAATTTAAAATTTAATTATTATAAAGTTTTAGTATAAAAAAAAAAATTAAAAACTTGAGATTGTTTTTAATTTATTCAAAAACAAAAAATTAATAAAATTACATAATATTAAATTTTAAATATAAGATGATACTATTTTCATGATTTTACTTTTAAATGCTACTATTGTGATTTGTTTTTCTTTTTACCTTTCTTTATAATTTTTTTTTATTAGAATAATAAATCTTATGAATTATTATTTATTATATGATTTATATTTTCTTTTGTATAAGTTTTTTTTATATATTCTATACTAAATTTATCATCTTATAAATCAAATTCTTTAATTTTTACATCTGTTATACTTCTTTTTAAATGGAATACTTTAATATACTACTTTAAAAATATTTTTGTTAGAATATATTTATGGCATTTTGTTATGTAAATCTATTATACAAATCTAGGATCATATTAGAATAATGTTCTTCAAAATAGAAAATTAATTTTATGTAATATCATCATGAGCTGATTCCTCTTCTTCTTATTAAATGATGTCATTTTTGACCCTCCTTTAATCATTATAATTGATTAGTTAAGTAATTTCTAAATCTGAAAAATTGATATTTATGGCTGATTTTATTGCATTCTAATTATTAAAATAAATGATTACTGATCTTATCAGATTAATGTATTATATATTAAACCATTTAAATATATTATTTTAAGCAAAGTAGTTATTAATAATTATTGTAGTGAGAAGTTTCTTAACGTTTTTTCTGATACTAGCTACATAAGTGAAGAGTGAAATAATGATAAAATCCTTAGTATCAGTTTCTATTATATTATCTTTTCAATTGGATTATATTTATTAGGATTTAAAATGTTAGAAAGAAGGGTATTCTTAAACAAAAAGTATTTTTAATGATAGAAATATTCAACTTTAAAGTGTTTTTAGATTATCCACCAGAAGTGAAGGTTATAAACTCTGGTTACTTCATTTTGAAATCAAATCAAAAGTTTTTATGAGAAGCAATTATTCTTTGATTTTTTCTAACCATTTTGTAAAAAGTATTTTAATAAAGCTTTTTCTAAAATAAAATGTATTTTATAGTAAGTAAACAAATAGAACTATTTAATAGAGTTGTAAAAATATTGAAAGATTTTAAAGCAAAATGATTTATTTCCTAAAAAATTTTTGTTTTCAGATGAGAGGAAAAGCGATTATAATATATAATTTTAAACTCCCTGTTTTTCTTAATAAACATCCCATATAAAATCTCAAACATCTCTGATATAGGTTTCAATATAATTTTATTTAAAATCAATCCAATTTACTATAACTTATATTTTCATTTTTTTTACGATTATCTCAATAATTACCAATTCAATTTTATTGCTTTTTTTATTTTGTAAAGCTTATTGAGAACTACAAAATAAAAAAAAGGTTATCAAATTTGAACATCAGAATGTTGGGTTAATTGCAAAAACTGATTTGTTAATTCTTTATAAATATGCTAATTCGTCAAAAGTTACCTGTATAATTTATTTGAAAGATGTTTAGGATCCTTTAAAAAAATTAATACTTTATAAATATAATAATAATTGTAATTGTATAATTAATATAAGACTTTGCAATAGGAATTCTATATTAAAAATTTGATTTTATAATAAAATAAAAATCCAATTCAAAAATTTTTTTTTTAGAGAAATATCTATAAACTTAATAAAAAAACTTATACTAGTACCTGTAAATATTAAATTTCGAATAAGTTTAGATAAGCTCAAAAAATTTTATTGGTAAAAATTTTTCATTATTTACGTTACTTAATTAAATGTGTGATATATAAGGCCGGACGTGACATAGTGACATAGAAGATTTCGTTTGTAAATATTTGGTTGGATAATCCAATCGTTACTCAATAGATCGAATCACCTTAAACTTAAGGTATCACCATGACCAATCATACATTGAAACTTCAATAAGGGGGAGGCTGTAATCATTAAACGACGACAAGGACAATGCAAATAATAATTAGTCGTAACCTTTAGTAGTTTTTTTTTTTTTTTTTCTAATGAACTTAATAAATAGATCGTTATAATTTGAATCTTTTTAAAAGTGAGAGTTATTTTTTTCACATTTACATTTATATTTTTTTTAAAAATTCTTACTTTTTTATAAAATATCGTAAGCAAAAAATGTCACAAGTAGAGAATGCACTAAATTCTTTGGGAGCACAACATATATACACGGAGACAAGAGAAGATACAAGTGAACTTTGTCAACAACATAATATGAATAATAATTCAGAAGGAAATTTTTCTGATGATAATCCAACTGAGCACATGGAATTCCAACAACCAACAGCACCATTATCAACCACGGATTCATCAACAATTTCGTCGTCATCTACCTTAGATTATAATTACGAGTCCTCAAATTCATCAACTACTAGCTCATCAGAATATGATACGCCACAGATTAATCCGATTTCATTTCTAAATACGATGCATCAAAAGCTGAATTATGAACCACCAACTTATGAGTTCTCTCATGATCCCGCTACGGGACATTTTTATTGTCAAGTGAATTTTTGTGATCAAGCTTACAAGAATATGATCGCACGTCCAAAGAAACAACAAGCGAAAGAAGATGCCGCAGGTATTGCAATGAAAGGTCTTTCATTGCTTATGCCAGATTTCACAGCTACTATTCGTCAAGATTTGGTTAGAGCTTATATTTCAGCATCACAGAAAGCAAAAAACAACAATAAGAATAAGAATAAAAATAAGAGTAATAATAATCAAAATTTTAATCCTAGACAACAATCATCCTTTTCATTACAACAACAATTCGTTACTCCTCATCCACTGGAGCTCGTTCCGAAATCGCGTCAATGGTATGACAAGCAATATGTTCAAACAAATAAAGGACAATCGAAAAGACCTTGTGTTTTGCTATTGGAATTCTGTCAATTGTACAGATTAGGACATCCAATCTACGACCTCAGAGATGACGGACGAGGATATTATTTATATGACTGTACTATAATGGGTCGTACTTTTAATCCTGAATTAGCTCTTTGGCAAAAAAATGATGCCAAAGATCATGTTAGTATCATAGCATTTAATGTATTATTCAGGGAATTTTATGATAAAGAAATAATTGAAATACAAGGTCGGTTACAACCCTACGGAATTCCTCCTACTTCGATTGGATTACCGCCTTCACACCCTACTCCAGCTTATTCACAACCTCTACATTCTATGTATCCTAATACTGCCGATGGAAGCAATTATTATGCTACGGCTGAGCATGCCAGTTATTTAGCTACAGATCCCAATGGCCAAGTCGCTATGTATTATTCTAATGCTACCATGACAAATGCTTCTCTTCAAAGGAATTAATTATTTAACGAGTATACGTGTATTAGTAATAAATGTATAAATTTTTTTTTTGTAATTATCATTAGCAATTTTTACTTTTTTATTAATAAACTATTTTTATATATATTTATTTTTTACATTGTATTGGGTGAGTTTATATATATATATATATTTTTTAAAATATAGGTTAATGTTAAAGAATGGATATGTCTTTTCATAAATAAATAATATATATATATATATATTTGATAAAATCGCAAACTTTAAATTGCCGATCTTTTATTGTACCTTTTTTTTAAAAAAAAATAATAAAAAAAATAAAATAATGTCATTAAAATTAAGATTTAATGAATCCTTATTTTTATTTTTAATAATTTTTATAATAACACCAATTGTGCAGACAGCAGATGTTAAGTCTTTTTGTAAATGTGTGTGCGCGGAAAATTCAACAATAGTTTCTTTAAGTATTGATCAAACATGTTCCGATTGTAATAGAGCTAATTGTATAGATCAAATGAAAGATAACTGTGCTGGAGCTAGAAATGAGGAAGGCACTTCTAAAGAAGGTTGTGAAATCCAAGTAACTGCTACGTGTTTTCGTAAGTCGTTGTTTTTTTTTGTATTTCCCAGAGTTTGCTTAAATTTGGAAGCAGAGATGTAACAATTAATGCTAAACTTTATATACAGAGCGAGATTCTTATAAGGATGAAGTTATCGTATATTTATATATTATTATAACAAGTGGTCTACTCCTTACAGCTCTTACGAAAACTTATATAGAAAAATGGTGGAAGGTAAATTTATCATATTTATCAATCATTATTATCATTATTTTTAATTTATATATTTATTTTTCAAAATGGTTAATTTTTTTTTTAAAAATGACGAATTTGAATGATATAGAAAATAAATTCACCATACGTTTATTCTTCAATGCAAAATAGTTAATAATTTAAACATGAGGTATTAAAAAGTATTAAAATATTTCGATTCGGGAAGATCTGTGAAGGTAAATCGCATAAAAGGTTGTATAGATAGGCAATTATATACCTTATCCATATATTCGCAACCATTCAACAACGAAGAAAGGGTATTAAAAAGAAGTACCGGAGAATGTATCATAATAAAGTGATATTATCATCTTGTTCATTACCATATAGGTTTTTTATTCTACAATGACCATTGATATTGTTCGGCTATGAGATAATGTATCTTATAGCGGAGCGGGTAAATATGAATATCAATTAATAAAATCACTCTCCCTTAGGTAAGGATATGTGTTTGATAAATTCGTTGACATTTCCGATTATAAATATTTCGTTTAAACGAATATGTTCAATTGAATGATCATGTAAGAACATCTAGTTCTATTTCAAGTAATTTGGGAGGTCATTGTAACTGCGGATATACTACTACTATGAGAATATGTATCTTATAGTGGGTAAATCACTCTCTCCCTTAGGTAAGGATATTGATGGGATCTGCTCATTACATGAGGACACGTGTTTGATAAATTCGTAAATTATTTACGTTTGAGTGATGTACACATTGATTTCTTCCGATTATAAATATTTGATTACAGATTTTTATTCGAATTTACGTAAATTTAGTTGAAATGATCAGGTTAAAAACTATCTAGTTCTATTTCAAGATTTGGGAGGTTCATTGTAACTGCGGATATATCATGAATTTTATAAAAATGTCCCGCTTGTCTTTTTTTTTTCTTTTTTTCTTTAACCTTTTTAAATAACCATTTTTTTCTTAAAAAAAAAAAAAGGCAAAGAAAAGTCATTTCAATATTATGCTAAATCTTTGCCAAGATTTCAAAATCCTTTTAATTCTTTCAAAAAAAATTAATTTATAAATATAAATGTAAATAAACAAATTTCGAAAGACGGAGTTGATTTTGTACATTAATAATAATAATACTGTAACTAATTATTTCCGTATAACAATTTATCTTATCGTCTCAATTTTATTCGGATTAACTTTTATGCTGTGTACCATAAGCTATTTTTGGGAATATATATAATCAGACAATATTGTTTTAATATATCCGTTTCTTTGCGCTTTTGCATCGGTTTCACTGGTTGAACAGCAATTCCTAGATCTCTCCGATTTCACCATCTTTCCTACTTTCGCTCTTTAAACCTTCTTTTCGCCGTCCTTTCGCGCGGAGCGCTTAATTCCCTTCTCAACAATACCACTTCACTCCTCTTTTACCTAAAACAAAATCTTGTCTATTTACCAACTTCATATAGAATATATCCCGTTCGCCATAATTTATAAATTGTACCTCCTTTCTTAATTAAATTAGAACATATTTATTCTTTGATTATAGCTGTTAATAAAAGGACAATGTCAGAAGATGCAACAATGGATACTGCAGTAGCAGCGACAATTCCTGCTACTGCTAATTTGGAACCACGAAATACAAAACGCATAACGGAAAGTTCTCCAACTTATACCGTTATACAACGAAAAATCGCCAAACATCTCCATCTTTCACCTCTCTTAGTTGCAGAGATAACACGTACTCTTTTTTCCATGCTAGCTTTCGTCATAGTCGGGTTTTCATGTACTTTTGCTATACAATCGTCAGATTATCGGTGGAAAACTTCCGGCGATGATATGATGGCTTTGGTAGATCTTGGGTTTAAAGTTATACCATATACAGAACAATTATTCTTAGCAGACTTGTTCATGCTTACATTGCTTGTTGGTTCTTTAGGCATAAGCCTTTTCCTCGCCGAATCTAATATAGCGAGACTTATAATAGTACGCCGTATTTTTTGGATGTTAACATTCCTTTTGGGATTTAGAATGATTACTCTTAGCGTTACAACTTTACCAAGTCCAAAAGATTGCAATCCTCTTGAGCCTGGCAACTTTTGGGATATGTTCAAAACCGGCGTACATTTAATAACAGGCACAGTTAAAGCATGTACAGATAATATTTTTTCAGGTCATAGCATCTTCATCACCACAAGGTAATTATTTTTAATATATTAATATTCGTCATTTAATTTCACATCAATGCCTTATAAAATGTAATAAATTTTTATTCTCTATTTAGTGTAATCCTCTTACGTGTTTATTGTAGATATAAAATCATTATATATTACTCGTATCTCCATGGACTTGCAGCATTAAGTTTTCTCGTTGCAACTCGAATCCATTACACTGTTGATGTCTTGTTGGCAGTATTCATTACATATTCTGTCCATTCAATATATTTCTTTATAGTAGATCTTTGTATAGAAAAACATTTCCTTGATATAAGGAAAGCAGAAGATCGATTAGGAGATGCGGAACTTTATCAAAGAATAGCATATATGCCTAATATGTTTAATACAAGTCTAGTAGGTGCAGTACGGTGGATGGATGGGTTAGATATTCGATTTAGATGTGAAGGCGAGGAGATTCGCGATATAACTAGAGAACGTGCGAGACAACGGCGTAACAATTCCAGCGCCAGTTCGAGCAGTGAGACGAATGAGATGACGCAAGTTGTGGTAACTAGTCCACCGCAAGACGACGAAGGTGAGCCAAGCAAAAGGCCTGAAATATTATAGCAGTAATTATATATATGGGTGTATACACTTGGCAATTATTTAATTAGGGAAAATAGTGAATGATATTCGTTGAATTTTTTTTTTGTTTGAATCAATGATTAATTTAGAGACTATTTTTGTGCATGGACAATATGTTGATAATGAAAAAAAGAAAAAAAGTCTAGAAGGGCTGTGAATGTATTAAAAATATATTGTTTTTTTTGTTGATTGGACTTTATTTTTCGAAATTTTTATTTTTTATTTTATTTTATTTTTTTCATTACATTTTTTTGGATTCTAGAAACCTTTTTTTTTTCTCTTTTATTTTATAATCGATAATAACGAGTTCTGGAGAAAGATTTGTGAATATAAAGAAAGCAGATTACAACCAATTGTTAAATAAACTCGTCAAAACTTAATTTGTAAATAATATATAATTTCTTTTGCCTAACATAATCATATTATTATAAAATCCTTTAATTAACTAATACAGGCGATGACCTATTTAAAACGGATTACTTTCCTTTCGAAAACCTTTATTCCGCACAAAATTTCTCCTCTTTACTTCTAATATCTCTCGGAATCTTTGCTTTTCTGCTACTTTATACTTTCTTATTACTTTCTGTGTTAATAATATGGTCCACATATCCCCCTTTCGCTTTATGATTTCCTTACCCTTTGTAAATATAATTATTAAAAAGGGATATTCCTTTTTTTAGTAAAGGTGAGAGATAAGAAAAATCTATGATCATCCCAATCAATAGAACAAATTCTTTTATTTATTCTAACCAAAGATTTAATTATAGATTTGTGTTAATTGTAAGGCTCTTTCTTTTTTTTTTCAGAAAAAAAAAAGTGTAATTATATAATTTCTAATAAAAATCATGGATTGTCATAAGGATTATGACCCTAAGGGACCCTAAGATCATTTTTAAAACTCCAGATATTTGATTGCCTTAAATAGTAACGTATACCCAATATTTCCGCACCCTAATTTAGTAAATATTTATATTATTTCGGATCATCTGATTGACCGATAATTTTATAATGACGATATTTTTAATCATTTGATTTCGATCGATGGGCTTATAATATCTATATTTGATAGAAAGTAAATAAATTATAAATTTTAAAAATAAATAAAAATATTATTTATTTAAAAATAAATAAATTAGAAATAAATTAATAAAAATATAAAAAATGTTAGTTTAATAAAATACAGTTAAATTAAATATTTAAAATAACAATTCAAATAAGATTAAATCATGATTGTATCTAAAGTTATTATTTATTTGATTAATTTAATATTATTAATCCAAATACAAAATATAAAGTAATTAAAATATCAATTTTAAAACAATTTAATTAATAAAATTAAATTTTTATAAGAATTATATAATTTAATGTTTAATCAAATAGCCAAAAAAAATACATTAATTATATATAATATTTATAAACCAATTTTTTTAAAAAAAATTATTATGAAAAAAGTAATTAAAATAATATATATATATATAAATATATTTATTTATTTTTGTTTTATTATAATTAATAAAAAAAAATAATTAACATAAAAAATAATTAAATTAAAAATTTATTTATTTATTTAATATAAATAAAAAAAATATATATTACAAGAAGTAGTTTTATATAATAAAATTTAGTTAATTAAAATTATTTTTGTTATAAAAAAAATAAAGATAAAAATATAGTATTTAAAGTTTTTATTATTTATTTTAATTTTATTTTTTATATTATTTTATCTTTATTTTAAATATTATTTAATATTAAAGATGGTTCCCATAATTATTTTTAAATTTTTTAACTAGTTGCAACTTAAGTTGCAATACTTTGAGTTGTAACAATTTATGAATTTTTATATTAAAATAAATTTACAAGGAATTGTAACTAAAAATGGTACAGCAATTGATTTCAAATTTACAAAATGTTGTAACATAAGCTAAAATTAGTTGCAACATATATAGGTTAAAACTAATTGCAACGTAAGTTGTAATATTAAAAGTTGCAACATATTAATTACAGTTCCCATCTTTAGTTGTAACCAAGTTGCAACTCAAGTTATAACTTATTGAGTTGCAACTTCTTAATTACTGTGTCATCTTTATTTAATACCATAAAGTCTTGAAAATAAGCACCCTTTTTTTGCTATAGGAGTGCTTATTATCGGGTAAGTTTTAAAACAATAAAAATCAGCTTTTAAAAAAGTTCAAAACCAAATACCGCAAAGTTAAGAAAATGCTGTGGTATGATTTGCAGATCATTTTAAAATGTAAGACACAGATTTATTACACGAAATGCAAAATTATTACACGAACTATGCAATATTGGATTGATCAACTTATGAAACTTCTATTTCTTTCTTAGTTTCAATTACACTAATAAATAATGCCACAAAATACAAAACGTAGTGTTATTAAATGTGAAAGAGTTATCAAACGTAAAACTTTAAAATGTAAAGTTTCAAAAAATACCTGTACTCAGTGTTATACATGGATATTATTCCAGTGATTTTTGGCAGACACGAGATGTCTGAAAGTTCATATCCAGGACTGTATCTGCAGGACAGTTGGGACATAGACTGATATTAGATATCTTTTGGCCAGAATTAACAAGAAATATAGCTAGTATTAATGCAGACAAAAGTTCCAGATATAAAAACATCTCATACATAAACATGGATAGTCTGGTCTGGTCCATGTCCGTGTCTGCGTCCTATGACAACACTGCCTGTACTTCGTATTCTATCAAACAAAAAGAATTAGTAGTTAATTACGCAAAGGAATATGGAAGAAATAATGCAGCAATTCATTTCAGATTTAACCCAAGTATGATTGGATGTTAGGTTAAAGCAAGTATAAACTAGAAAGGTGAGGTAAACAGAAATAGTAGGAGTATTGATTCTGGTAAAAAGGTTTTTTTTCTGAGGCTGAAAAAGGCTTTTTATAACTGGATAATCAAACAAAGAAAGCAGGAGTTAGCGGTCACTTATTCCATTATACGAGTCAAAATATTAGATATTTTAAAAGAACCAAATATTATAGTTCTTTATGATAATATAACAAATTTTAAGTTATCAAATCGTTGGTTATATGCATTTATAAAAAGACAAAAATTATCTTTGCAATGACACACAAAAATTGCACAAAAACTTCCAAAACAAATCGAAGAATTATTAGAAAAATTCTATCAATTTGTTTCTCATCTTAGGATTGAAAAATCCTACGAAATGAACTATATCTTTAATATAGATGAAACTTCGGTATGGTTTGATATAACTGGTAATTTTAGTGTAAATCAAACAGGTGAAAAAACTGTTCATATTAGAGGGACAGGTAACGAAAAAATCATTTCACCATTATTTTAACTTATACAGCTGTTAAGAATATTAATTTTTTTATTTATGATTTTATAGATCTATTTCTAATATTTTTTTATTATATAGATGGAAGCAAGCTCCTACCAATATGTATTTTTAAAGAAAAGAAAATGAGACGCAGTAAATAAATACCGTCCAGTATAGTGAATTAGTTTTAAGCAAATGGCTGAATGAACACTGAATTAATGATAAAATATATCAATTATTTTAATGATAATCGATCTGAAGTTTCAACTATGCTTGTTTATGATTCTTTTAGAGAATATCTAGAGAAATCTATTAAAAAAAAATTTCATGATAGTAATGTTGATTTAGCGGTTATTTCAGGTAGTTTAACTAGTGTTTACCAATTACTTAATGTTAGTATTAATAAGCCATTTAAGGATAACCTTCATAAAGAATAACATTTGTGGATAGCAGATGGTGGTACTGGAGAAACTGTAGCAGAAAATTTTAAATGTGTTAAGTATAGCAATGTTTATAATTAGGTAAAACGTTTATAGGATAATATATCTAACGAAATCATCATCAATTTATTTGTAAATTATGGTATAATAGATTCATTAGACGATTTAAATAATGAAGATAAGAAATTAAAAATTTTAGATATCGATAATTGTGATGATAGTATTCATGATAATGATAGTAGTTGTGATGATAATAGTTGTAATGATGATAAAAGTAATGATATTTATGATAATGATATTTATAATAAAAGTGACAATAAATTATCTGATATAAAGTATTAGAATTATTAATAAAAATATAAAAGAATTTTGTGCACATTTTAATAATTAAAAAAGTTATTTTATAATATAAAATAATTGATAAACACTTTATTTTCAATATATTAGTAAAATTAATCAATTTTTTTTACAGAATTTTTGTAGGTGTTTATTTTCAGGTAATATAAAAATCAGAGAATGCTTATTTTCAGAGGGGGTACTTATTTCGGGACTTTATAGTATTATATTATTTATTAAAATTTTTATTTATAAATTAAATATAAAATAAAAATTTATATTAATTAGATAAGTTAATAAATTCTTAATAATATAAAATAAAAATATTAAAAATATTATTATATATTTAAATAGATAAATATAATATAATATATATAAAATAATTCTGATAAATTTGATATTTCTGATATATCTGATATGATAGATATAGTTGATTTAATTAATATATTAAATATATTAGAAAAATATAATAATTAAATATATATTATAGGGTAATTTTATATTTCTATATATTTTATTTTATATAAATAAGCAGCTTTAAAATTATATAAATATAAGAAATCAACAAGTTAGTCGTAATAGTTTAAAAGGTAATTGGCCTATTGCATTTTTTTATTTTTCTATTTTTTTTATAATTCTTTTATTTTTATTATATTTTCTTATACTATAAATAAATTTATCTTTAAGATATAATTACATTCTAAAATTTCATATTATTATTCTATTAAATTATTAAATAAATATATAATCAATAATAAATAAATATCATAATCAATAAATATTACTACTTAATTAAAAGAACTATTGTTTGAATATACTATTTAATGATGCTATTCGAAATCTATTGTAATGTGTAGCTTAAAAATTAAGAAACTATTTCA